GAATGATTTAGAATGTTTTTTTATATAGAAATATGATTGCAAATAGCAAATCACATGCTTTTAATTCTTTATAGTGGCATGTAAAGTTATAACTAACAGAGTTTATTCTATGTATTCTGCGAGAATGTATTCTATGTATTATGCAAGATTGTATTTTATATATTCTACCAGAATGTATTCTATGTATTATGCAAGATTGTATTTTATATATTCTACCAGAATGTATTATATATATTCTACCAGAATGTATTAGTTAACAAATATAAAAGCCTTACTTAAATTTCACATGCTTTTAAATTACCTCAAATGATTGGCTCAGAATCAATTTCACATGTTTTGTTCGTTGGGTATATTCTTGATAATACAAATTTTTTAAGAATATTCAAAACCATTCTGCAAGAGTAGTGTATTGTGTAAGAATATTATTGTTGTCTTCTGATAGAATTGTAGTTAATTATTTATATGTTTAATGTGCGGTTCTTACATGTGTATCACTACAAAATATTTAACAATATTTGGCAATGAATTTGTGATAGGAATGGCTTGAAGAATGGATTGAAGACCTGATGGGAAAGGCTTGAAGAATGAATCAAAGAATGATCACACTTACTGTTTAAGAATGTTGTTATTTTTTAAGAATTACACTTGTTATTCTTTCAGAATGTTGTTATTATTTAATGAATCGTAATCATACAATGTAATTATTTGGTATATTATTAGTTCAAGAATCGATTTTGTGTATTCTTTCATAAAGTTGTTATTATTCAGTGAATCGATTTTGTGCATTCTAACAAAATGTTATTCTGACAAAATATAGCATTCTAACAAAATGTTATTCTGGCAGAATAAATTCGGTTATTATAAAAAATACTTTAGAATTAATATTGAATTACTTTTAAAAAATCAGATTTTTAAAAGTAGGAGAATTAATTATCCCTAAATTTCCGAAAATTTCCTTTTTTAAATATATTTCATTGTCCAAAATACCCTTATACTGAAATTTGTGTGATTAAATTGATTATTTTTAATTAGTTAACAAATATAAAACCCTTACTTAAATTACCTCAAATGATTGGCTCATAATCAATTTCACAGGCACACAATACTTAGTAAAAACAAAATAACCTAAGTCTATATATATATATATATATATATATATATATATATATATATATATATAGGGTTAGGTTATTTTGTTTCTAGTAACTATTGTGTGCAATAATGCACAGATCTGGACCATTGGATGAAATATAATCAAAGGTAATGATCTGAGGGTCTATGATGGTAGAATAGGATAACATATACCATATAATCACACAAATTTCAGCATAAGGGCATTTTAGTCAATTAACCTATATTAAAAAAGGAAATTTTCGGATTTTTAGGGATAATTAATTCCTTTATTTTTAAAAATCTGAATATTTTAAATTAATTCAAAATTAGAAATTCGATTTTATTCTATCATAATGGTAGAATGTTAACCATAAACTAGTAAATATATACGTCGATTATATTCTGTCAGAATGACAGAATGCCAACCATAAACTAGTAAATACATTCTAAAAAGAATACACAAAATCAATTCTTGAACTAATAATATCCAAATAATTACATTGTATGATTATGATTCATTGAATAATAACAACATTCTGAAAGAAAAAAGAAAAAAACATCACAATCTAACAAAAACACTAATTTATTCTAATACAATCTAACAAAAACACTAATCTATTGTGACAGAATGTATTTGTTGTTAACAATTATTCTCAAACATTCTAACAGAATACATCTATATAAAATAAATTCTAATAGAATCAACACCAACTCATTCTTAAGTGCTTGAAGTTCATCCTCACTTGAACTACCATCAACGACAAAAACAAACGCCGGTTGAATCGTCAACACACATCTGCATTCGTTGCCAGTCAAGAACACAAGAAACAAACACCCATGAATTCCCCTGTCAAATACCAAACACCCATCTTCCCTTTTTGAAATACCAACTAAGCAAAGTATTGTAGGATTTGAGTTGCAAAGAGGGTAAGTGTCCATCAAAGCAGCAAAAATGGAGTTTGAATCGATACCCATGTCAGATAATTGTGTAAAAATTGATTTAGCAGAGGCATACATTCTTGCTTTCACTAGTATATGAACAGTTATACAGTAAACATACGTGAGATTCTTGAGTTGTTGAAAAGCAGGTTGCTTGATTACCCAATTAAGAAATTTCAAAGCTAGGTTTCCATGAAATGGCCTGAGGGAAACCCGTTTATAGTTCATTTGAGAAGAAACCAGTAATAAGAAGGTCGTAAAGAAATCAAACCTGATGATGAAGACGACGAGAGTTCCATCATGGAAGACCACCTGTTGGTGCGCTTGGAAGGAGATATGGCGGAAGTGAGGGGTCTATGGGTTATTACAATCCCAATTCATAGAGATACATTACAAATGGGTAGGTCAAAATTAGATGCTAAACTTGAAATTGAAATCAAAATTGAAACAAAGATGGATGAAAAGAGGGAAACAGGGGCTTCCATACCGTAGAGGTGCGGGGTGCCGATCGGAGAACGAGAGATGGATGCAAAGAGGGAAAAAATCCCTAGGTCGAAAAAGGGTAGTAGTTACCCCTTGAACCGATTGTTTTTTAGAAAAAGCGTGAATTGGATGGTGATGTTATAGGATTGTGCAAACTGATTCCTATTTCAATGGGATATTCTGTGGTGTGCGTCGACTGGAAGAAGAAAGAAGAAATCGAGGTCTTGATCGGTTATGTTGTGGGGTGTCGATCAGACGATCACCATAGCTGTGGCTCCGATTCTTTGTTCCAAACTTGTTGAATCGATCAAGATGTAATTCCTTGAATATATGACACGATGCAAGAGAGACTAGGTCAAAAATATTGATTTTATTTCCTTAATTGCAGGATTTCAATTAAATGATTCCTTAATTAAAAAGTACAAAATGTCCAATATACCCTTAAATGATTTATTTAATTGTTTATTATTTCCTAAATTCCTATTGGTGCATTCATGCACACAATAGTTGCTAGAAACATTTGAACCTAACTCTCTCTCTCTCTCTATATATATATATATATATATATATAATATATATATATATATATATATATATATATATATATATATATATATATGACTCATATTTCATACTCTATATCTCTATCTTTCTCTTTCTCAACATCTTTATCTATGTATCTCTTTTATATATCTACCACTATACAAAAGGCTTCTTTGTATCCAAAAGAACTATAAATATACTTACTTTGTGGATATGCATGTCCAATATATGTCCTTCCCAAAACTAGGTCGAAATGGGGTCAAAACCCCATCCATGACATCAAAACAGCTTGTGAGTCCATATCTAAAACATATAATACTCAAGGGACCTCAATGATCAATAAAGTTGCAAACTTTATTATTAAGAACATCTCAAAACTTTTTAACAAGAAGAAACTAGCTCAAAAACATAGATCCAAAGAAAGTAAGCACCAATGTTGAGACCTTATACTTCCCAAAAGTCCAGAAAATGATTAGAAGTATAAAAACTAGGTTGGAAAACACTTTCTTGATGCACCAAATGACACTACCTTCATCAAGAACGCACTAAAACACCAAAAATGGATGAGAGAATAGGGGAGAAGCTCAAAGTATGAAGGGAGAGGCTAGGGTTGCTTCGAAGGAGCTCTACATGCGATGGAGGCTCATATAATGCCCTAAAATTTAGAACCTTATCTTTAAATACGTTGAAAACCCTAAAATTCATGGGATTAGGCTGCACAATGACCACCTTATGATGACCTGCTCACCACCTCATTTTGACACCACCTCGTGGTGACCTACTCACCACCTTATGGTGATGAGTTTTGACCCATTTCATTTAAACTTAAAACAATCATAATTTCTTTGTTTCAACTATATTTTCAGTGGTCTTTATATGTACGCGAAGATATTAACAAGCCCCATAAGTATATCTTACTACTATTGACTTATAACATACCGAACTAAATTCATTAATTCATGCAAGAAGTCTTGGAATATCACCTTTTCTCATTTTACCCCTTTTGCCTCCAAACCACAAATCAACGGATTAAACCACTTAACCAATATTATTAACATCAAATAAGGGCTAAACTTTATTCCATTGAAGCCCAATTCCTTTACATAATCGAATTACGGTCCAAAATCCCAAAATAAAAAACATATTGAAACTGGATGTTACATACAATTTAAGAAATAAGAGAGGGGGGGGGGGTAGAGAAAGATAGAGGAAAAATAAAGAAAGCTCTTGTGAAGCTTCGCCCTGTTGGGTCGTTGTTCACGCATGAGAAGACTAGCAACATCCTTACGGTTGTTCTGTATGAAGTATACCGAATAACCTTAATGTGGCAAAAGACGAGGGACGTAATCATAAATGCTCCCAAAACCAACTATTTAGCGACCATTAACAAGTCAAGGATAAATTTTAAGGATATTCACAAATATAACCTTTAAGAACGAGGTTATTATACAAAATGCCATAATGTTTGAACTTTTGAAAAATGACAATGATATCTGGAACGTTCAATGGTCCCTATGGTTTGGGGTAATTTACACGGTTGGTACCTAACTTATTTTTTTAACTCGGAAGGTCGTTATAGTTTGTTTTTATTGCGCACTTGGTTCATGTCTTACCTAAAAAGACTATTTTTCCATTGATTTTTTTAATTATTTAAATAAGATGAGGCAGGTAAGGTAAGATGAGATGAAAATGGGGTTGGGGGTGTGTTTATTAAAATAAATTAAAATATCAATGGCAAAATAGTATTTTTTAGGTAAGACAGGGACCAAGCATGCAACTTAAACAAGCAACGTTGACCTTCCAAGTTATAAAAATAAGTTAGAGACCAAACATGCAAATTACCCCAAACCATAAGAACCATCCGTGTCGCTATACTATGTATGCTCATAACTTAAGATCTATACTATATCCGTTTGTTTTTCCTCGTTTCGCAATTTTACATCGTTTTGACTAACCCTGTTTTATTATTTTCAGTGGATTGCAGTAGGTTCGGCTAGCAATGTCGCCCGCTAAAGGTAACAGCCCATCGCTTCTATATGCTCTTCCTTTCTCTCGATCTATGTTTATCAATATTATCGAATATTTAAAGCTTATACATATCATTGATTAGAGCTCAATTTTCAGTTCAACCTTTTTTTTCACATCCAGCAAACAAATTTCCTGTTTTGTTAATATGAGATTGTTGAGCTGCAGGAAGCATTTGTAATTTGAAGAGAAGTTAGGTCACAAATATATACTTGTATCAATGCGTATTTGTATGAATGCTTCTGCATCTGTTAAAAACAAGGACTTCTTGCTATTATTACTCATGTTGCCCAATTTACTGTTACAGCTGATGCTACAAAGAAAGGAGATGCAAAGGCGCAGGCTCTAAAGACAGCGAAAGCTGTGAAGACAGGATCAACATTCAAAAAGAAGGCCAAGAAGATCCGTACAAAGGTGACATTTCATCGCCCAAGAACATTGAAGACTGACAGAAACCCAAAGTATCCTCGTATCAGTGCCCCACCAAGAAACAAGCTTGACCACTATCAAATCTTGAAATACCCTTTGACTACTGAATCTGCAATGAAGAAGATAGAAGACAACAACACCCTGGTTTTCATTGTTGATATCCGAGCTGACAAGAAGAAAATCAAAGCTGCAGTTAAGAAGATGTATGATATCCAGACCAAGAAAGCCAACACTTTGATCAGGTATTATTTTCAATAATTGTCAATATTAGTACACATGTTTGATAAATTTTAGACAATCATAGCTCCAAATATGAATGCAATTTCCTCTGTTTTCAAAACAATGTCTTACTTAAAATACAATTCTTCTTAACGATTGAATTTCAATTTTCAACCAACCGAACGTAAACTAGCAAACCCTAACAATTCAATAACTACTTGTAAAAAATTAGCCATGGAAACAGAAATTATAAGTCATTATCAACAAGAAAGTACATTGTAAAGAAATCAGTTATATCAAGAAACAGTCGGAAGGAGAATATTGGGGACAGGGTAAGGGATATCTGAAATTGCGATTTCTTTACGTATTGCCAATTTTGACCAAACAATTAACGAATCAGATCTAAACACACATGAAATCAATCTGTAATCCGACAAGCATACAATAACGAAGATTGCTATAATACGTACTTTAAGAGAGGCGACGATCTTCAGTACCCAATCAAACGACTGCGCAGAAGTCGGCGGTGTCGGTTGCTTCGGTGAGAAGGAGGGCGGCGCCGGTGGCTGCAGGGAAGGATGATGTTGAAGATGGAGGCTGCTGTGGCGCCGGTGTTTCGGAGGCGGTGTGAACCAAATAAGAAGAAAATATAAAACGATGTAGGGATTGAGGGCTAAAAGTACACACAATGAAATCGTTCAAGCCCTTCGTAAATAAAAAATAAATAAATAAATAATATATATATATATATATATATATATATATATATATATATATATATATATTAAAAACCAGTTGTGATAAGGGTTGATTAAAACAAAATGCTAAATACAAATGATTAGACAACAAGTTTATTTGAATTTAAATTTCAAAATAAATAAAAATTATAAAAATTTTTTTAAAAAAAACATGAAAAATTAATTTAAAATTATGTATTTGGTTGTCAGACCCGTGTATTAAATGTGCTAATTATAACAAAATGTTAAATACGAATGTTTCAATTGTAAATTTATTTAAAATTAAAATTGAAGTTTAAAATTTGAAATTAATATAGTTATTATGGTATGTTTAGTTTATAAAAACTAAATTAATGATATATATCACAAATGGAAAATGAAGTAAATGACAAATGAAAAATAAATATCTCAAATTTATGACAAAATGACATGTGCATAATGCATGAGAGTATGACAAATGGCAAAAAAAACTTTTATTTATTAGAAAGGATAGATAATGCATAAAAATTTAAGATAGTTTAGATTGTATATACATATAATTTATTTTTGAATATATTTAATCATTTATATTTTTTTATACTATTAGTCATTTATGTTTTTGTTTTTGTATACATATAACCATCAAACGCAATGCTTATATGTATACACAAAAAAAAAAAGACTAAATATATAAAAAACATTAATAAACGAACCAAAGCCTTTAATATATATATATATATAGATATATATATATATATATATATATATATATATATATATATATATATATATAATAAAAATTAAACAAACAAATTTAAATATATATATTTTAAAATATAATGCTCTAACCCGAAGAGGCAAAAGTATGATGCTATAATAAAGAAATCAATAAAAATACATTGTTATTTCTTACATTCAACCCTTACAAAAACAAGCTATAAAAGCAATCCTCACCAAGTGACAGATACATAATCAATAAAACTAACTATTGTCGATCAATTAAAGAAGATGCTAACTGTTATGACGTAGATTAGGTGGAAGAACGGGGACTGGATTAATGTACTTCAATAATGATCAAATGAAGAAAACCATTGAGAAAATGGATGAATGCTACCTTTGTGATGTTGTCTCTATCCAACATTACCCATAAAACGCATCCATCTCCTTCCCGATGAACCCATTTCTCTTGAACCTAAATTTCTTTGAATTTCTACTCCCTGCACACTACAACAAACATTCTATCACTTTCATGTCAACAAAAAATTAACCACAACAAATCAGTAAAAAATCAGACGAACTAATGATTTCATATAAATGAATTACATGAACTATTGATTTCAGCTATAAACTTTTCGGTATATATAAACAGAAATCAGTCCATCAAAATTTTCATAAAGACAACATCTGATCATCAGATGAAATCAACACACAATTCAATCAGAACATCATCAATTTCAACAAGAAATTGTCATTTTCATCTGATGATCAGATGTTGTCTTTATGAAAATTTTGATGGACTGATTTCTGTTGATATATACTGAAAAGTTTATAGCTGAAATCAATAGTTCATGTAATTCATTTATATGAAATCATTAGTTCGTCTGATTTTTTACTGATTTGTTGTGGTTAATTTTTTGTTGACATGAAAGTGATAGAATGTTTGTTGTAGTGTGCAACGAGTAGAAATTCAAAGAAATTTAGTTTCAAGAGAAATGGGTTCATCGGGAAGGAGATGGATGCGTTTTATGGGTAATGTTGGATAGAGACAACATCACAAAGGTAGCATTCATCCATTTTCTCAATGGTTTTCTTCATTTGATCATTATTGAAGTACATTAATCCAGTCCTCGTTCTTCCACCTAATCTACGTCATAACAGTTAGCATCTTCTTTAATTGATCGACAATAGTTAGTTTTATTGATTATGTATCTGTCACTTGGTGAGGATTGCTTTTATAGCTTGTTTTTGTAAGGGTTGAATGTAAGAAATAACAATGTATTTTTATTGATTTCTTTATTATAGCATCATACTTTTGCCTCTTCGGGTTAGAGCATTGTATTTTAAAATATATATTTAAATTTGTTTGTTTAATTTTTATTTTATATATATATATATATATATATATATATATATATATATATATATATATTAAAGGCTTTGGTTCGTTTATTAATGTTTTTTATATATTTAGTCTTTTTTTTTGTGTATACGTATAAGCATTGCGTTTGATGGTTATATGTATACAAAAACAAAAACATAAATAACTAATAGTATAAAAAAATATAAATGATTAAATATATTCAAATATAAATGATTAAATATATTCAAAAATAAATTATATGTATATACAATCTAAACTATCTTAAATTTTTATGCATTATCTATCATTTCTAATAAATAAAAGTTTTTTTTGCCACTTGTCATACTCTCATGCATTATGCCACATGTCATTTTGTCATAATTTTGAGATATTTATTTTTCATTTGTCATTTACTTCATTTTCCATTTGTGATATATATCATTAATTTAGTTTTTATAAACTAAACATACCATAATAACTATATTAATTTCAAATTTTAAACTTCAATTTTAATTTTAAATAAATTTACAATTGAAACATTCGTATTTAACATTTTGTTATAATTAGCACATTTAATACACGGGTCTGACAACCAAATACATAATTTTAATTTAATTTTTCATGTTTTTTTTATGATTTTTATTTATTTTGAAATTTAAATTCAAATAAACTTGCTGTCTAATCATTTGTATTTAGCATTTTGTTGTAATCAACCCTTATCACAACTGGTTTTTAATATATATATATATATATATATATATTTATTTATTTATTTTTTATTTACAAAGGGCTTGAACGATTTCATTTTGTGTACTTTTAGCCCTCAATCCCTACATCGTTTTATATTTTCTTCCTATTTGGTTTACACCACCTCCGAAACACCGACGCCACAGCAGCCTCCATCTTCAACATCATCCTTCCCTGCAGCCACCGGCGCCGCCCTTCTTCTCATCGAAGCAACCGACACCGCCGACTTCTGCGCAGTCGTTTGATTGGGTACTGAAGATCGTCGCCTCTCTTAAAGTACGTATTATAGCAATCTTCGTTACCTCTCTTAAAGTACGTATTATAGCAATCTTCGTTATTGTATGCTTGTCGGATTACAGATTGATTTCATGTGTGTTTAGATCTGATTCGTTAATTGTTTGGTCAAAATTGGCAATACGTAAAGAAATCGCAATTTCAGATATCCCTTACCCTGTCCCCAATATTCTCCTTCCGACTGTTTCTTGATATAACTGATTTCTTTACAATGTACTTTCTTGTTGATAATGACTTATAATTTCTGTTTCCATGGCTAATTTTTTACAAGTAGTTATTGAATTGTTAGGGTTTGCTAGTTTACGTTCGGTTGGTTGAAAATTGAAATTCAATCGTTAAGAAGAATTGTATTTTAAGTAAGACATTGTTTTGAAAACAGAGGAAATTGCATTCGTATTTGGAGCTATGATTGTATTACTAACCCATCAGTGAATTGGATCTAAACTGAAGCATGATCAAGAACAAGAAAATCATAGAACAAGATCAAAGATTTTATGCATAAAAATTTATCTTTCCACATATTATTCACATTACTATCTTGTTCTGATACAATTTCTGATGTAACACATGTTATTTTATGTTAATTTGATCAACAATGCTTGAAGGTCATCCCTAATTTTGAGAACTTTTTTTTTTCAGAATCTGCACTTGATGGATCCTAAATACACAGGAGAGATGTTAAAGTAAGTTTTCTTGAAATATTTTTTAATCAAAAATGACTAATAACAGTACATAATAATATTATTCTTTAACTTTAATATGTAGACACTTCAGGTAACACATCTTTTGTTAATCTTGATTTATATATAAATAAAGTTAAAATATTCTTTAGTTTTTATAATTGACTTCCATTCCATTTTTTATAACACGCAACTAAAGTGTAAAATTGGCATTTTGAAGAAAAAAAACATGGAAAATATCATAGGAATATTAATTATTTAGTCTTTTTGTAGGTTGAGGAAGAAATGTTAATGCGTGCGTTTTATGATCTCATGGCATCTCAAGGTCTGGCTACAAAGGTGATATTAATTTTGTAATTAAAAATGGTTAATTTTATTAGATATATGGAATCATTCTTGAAATTACTTATTAGTCAACGTTTATGGTCAAAGTTAATATGTTTTCTTAATTCGAATTTTGCAGAGACAAGATGGTACAAGTGTTTTGGAAGATATTGAGCCACCACAGTCAAAATCATTGGTCAATGTGGATAGTAATAAAAAACATTAAATAAAACGTTGTTTTTGAGGTTTAAATTTTGGGTAAATATTTGTTTTTGAATAGCATATGTGGCTAACGACTTTTGTTACACAATGTGGATGTGGTCTATGAGAAACGTATTAACTATGTGTACACTAACACTAAATCGAATTTTAAAAAGTAGAGCTATGTTCTTTTACTTAATTTAGTATAATCACTAGTAACTCGTCAAATTACACTAAATTTGTTAATGCATTGCTTTTTAATACCATAATTCGAAGTGTTTCATTTTAAAAAAAATTTGATTAATGAACTTGTTTCCCCACTTTTATCAAATTTTGTTAATTTACCTAGAAGATTAATGTTTAACATAAGAAAATTTTTAATGCACTTATATATGTTTTGATACCTTTAAAATAAGGCTAATATCAATTTAATTTCTTTTTAATATTCATTCAAACCGCTTTTTTTTTTTTTAAATAATTTTACGGTTAATTATTTATGTCAATAGTTAAAGAGTAAATTTACCAATCTTCCGTTAAATAGTTTTGGATGTGGAAACCATAGCGTCAATTTGCATGAATAAGTTATTTTAAGACATACATTGAGTGCAATGTCCTTTCTCTGTTTTCATAAGATTCGTATGTTTTCCAACAGAAGACAAGTACAATGTTCCAAAAACTTGCCTGTCTTGTGCCCTTAAATTGTGAAGACACTCTTCTCTTTCCAAAAAATATTTACATTACTATCTTTATTATGCTCATTTGAGTACCTATTTAATCAACAATACTTGAAGATCATCCCTGATTTTGAGAACCTTCGGTTGATGTTTAAGTAAGGTTGGAGGCTAGGATTTCAGGGTATCAATAGAGATCGCATAATCTAATGGACCTTAAATATGAAGAGATTTTAAAGTAAGTTTTGCTGAAATAATTATTTTTCTTATATGATTAGTAGCACATAATGTTCTTGTTCTAAATGTAGACACTTGGAGAAACAGGATGAACTCCTCATGGATGCTAGTAGATCATTGTCACATGAATGGCAAAAACTTAAGGTGATTGTTTTTTTGTTTTTTTTTTCTTTGCATGTATTGTTAAGTGTAATATCCAAAACTTTGCTTGATTTATTATGATTTTAATCTTTTTTGTAGGCTGAGGAAGATATGTTAATGCATGCTTTTTCTGATTTCATGGAAGCTCAAGGCCGGACGACAAAGGTAATGTTAATATTGTAGTTAAGCACGGTTATCACTCAAGTTTTTATTGGACATGTGAGAAGTGAAGTAGCGTAGGTTTTGGCTACTTTCTTTACCTTTATAAGATTTTTTAATTTACAACTATTTTACTATTAGTTCTATATCCAGTATTTCTATTTTAAATCTCTCCCCTTTTAAACTCGGCATTTGTTGTGGTCTTTTTACAGAAAAAAGATGGTAGGGATGTTGTTCTTGAAGAAATCAATCGACCACACTCAAAAGAAGTTGTTAATGTAGATTTTGTTGGGTGTCCCAACATTAAAATAAATTAAAGAATGATATTTGGATAAAATAAATTAAAATAATTGAATAAAATAAAACTGGTGGATTTAAAATTTCAAAGTTTATCACTTAAAAATAATTAAATAAAAAAATAATTAATTAGTTTGATGACAGATTGGGTCAAAATCTTTGATTTTGAAAATTAAAGAATGATATTTGGATAAATTCATTTAATATGAATTTAGAGATAGTAAAAATTCAATCATATAAGGTTGGATTAGAATATAAGAAACTAAAAAAATATTTAGAATGTCATATTGGAGTTAATTCGAAATTTAAATGTTGAAGGGCTAATTCCGCTAAATTTGGAAACTAAGAATATTATTTAGGATGCTATTGTTGTCTTTGATGATAATGCTAATGTCTTTACTTTGGAAACATAAGCTCTAACAAAGTTTTTATCCCCTGAGGTAAAGACAATGTTTTAATAAATGCTCGACATTACGTAGTATGTGTACCGGGGTTAAAAAGATTAATCGGCTAAGCGGAGATTAATTGGGTACTCTAAATTGCTAATTCATTGAATATAAAAAAAAATGAAATATCACTAATATCATAACAAAGTTCGTAGAAACCACTAAGATAATAACAAAGTAGGTAACATAATTAATACAACATTAATCTTTCCTCGGTTAGTTTCGGTTAGTTTCTATTGAGATAAAACTTCTTCAAAGTGTTAAAATTTTTATCGTTTGCTACTTCTTCGCTCATTATGTAGACAAGGATCAATCACTAGATGCCTTCTAGTCCGTCAAGTAGTGCTTAGAGACTAATCGGAACCTGGTTGGGATTTTTACAACACTGTAAAGATGTGGTTGCTAACGAGCATACAGTAGTGTTATCATGTATTCATCATCACCGAGTGATGAAATAGACTTAGATTCATGACTATCTTGAGAGAAATAGCCAGGTAGGTTGTTTGGGTTGAGGTAATGCACCCTCACCAACCAACATCAAAACCACTGATAAACATAGTTGGCCTATCTTCTACATGATGTTGCACACACAATAATCCAACATGTATCACACGTTCTACCTCAGATATTACACACGTCTCACGTAAAGATGCACTCATCATTTCAATCGACTTATCTTCTTTGAACAGTCTCCATGCCTGGATCAAATGGATAAAAAGTGAGCATTGCGAGCCTCTAGTAATCAGTAAGTTATGTGTTATCATTTACTTTTACCATAGTTTTAAGTTGATCTAGAGGTTAAAGAAATCACTAGTTTCGGGTCTAAAGATCTAACTTACATGTCCAAGAAGGTTGTCTCTATGGTCTCCATAAGAAAATTCCCTGTTTCTTTTTCCACTGACTATCTCCAACACTAGAACACCAAAGCTAAATACATCTGACTTTACAGAGAACCGTCCCCGTAATGCATACTCTGGAGAAATGTAACCACTACAGCAAAGTTAAATTAAGTAAATTGACATATTACTAGTTGACTCTCTATCTTTTTCTTAGTAAACAATGGTTTTGGATTCTTACTATGTCCCAACCACTTTCTTTGTCTTGGTGGCATTATCAAACCCTACAAACTTTCTTGCAAGGCCAAAGTTGGATATTTTTGGATTCATGTCACCATCTAACAAAATATTAGCTGCTTTCAGATCTCTATGAATGATTTGAAGGCGGGAATCTTGATGTAGATAAAGAATGCCTCGAGCCATCCCATGGATAATGCGAAACCGCTGAGACCAATCAAGCATAAAACCTTGCGAATTATCTGTCAAAAAGATATTCACATAAGTAATTCGTCCCTTGATTTGACAAGAAATTCAAAAGCATCATATTTAGTCAAAAGTCAGAGATTCGGACCATATATAAACGAGTCCAAACTTCCGTTAACCATGTATTCATATATCAAAATCATTTCATTTCCATGAATGCAGTATCCAAGAAGCTTCACAAGATTTCGATGTTGAAGTTTTGCAATACAAATCACTTCATTCTCAAACTCTTCAAGCCCTTGTTCTGATGTTTCTGAGAGCCGCTTCACAGCTACTTCTTGTCCATCTTGTAACACACCCTAAAACATTAAGATTAAACTTTAAAGTTTATGATTCAAATACGCATCACATTTTATTCAAGAAGCATCAATAAGTTACCTTATAAACTGGACCGAATCCACCTTCTCCAATCTTATTATCAATGCTGAAATTATTGGTTGCCTTGGCTATTTCATTCAGACTAAAAAAGGGTACCTCATCAAGATCTTCCATCCCTACACTACTATGTCTTTTATCAAGTGCATATACCCTGTTTCCTACAAAATGATAAGTTGAATTGTTCTTGATTACATGATTTTTAAAAACTTTAAAAAAGGGAAAACTTCACGCTTGACACCTCATCAACAGCCAACATGGAGGGGCAAATTCAATGTCCCTTAAGCTAGAAAAACATTGTGGGGACTTAATTAAAAGACTCTACATTTATAGACATGAAAAGTTCTCAAGGTAATTGAACGTTGAAATCGTTTGGTTTATAAAAAAAAGATGATTGTGTTACTCCACCTTTCATATGTAGCCTTTTCTTTCTGTTTCTATACACGAAAGCTACTGCAGACAGAAGCAATGCTGCCGCTGAGACTATAAGAACAATGGTGACTACTTTTGTTCTTCTGAAGTTCGAGTCACGATCTGTTATCTCAGAGACAGCCATTCTTATATAAAGATTTTGATCTTCATCATACTCTCTGATATCAATCAGATCACCAAACCACAACAAACAACCACTTCCACCATTTCTGATATCTAAATTTGCATAAGCTGTACAATTACAATTCATTTTACAAGCTATCTCACATTCTCCAAGTGTCATACTTTCATTATACCATGAGCGTTGTGTGTCTGGAAATTTCAATCCCGAAAGTCTCTTAAACCCATCACCACTCCCACAACTTAGAGGTTTTTTAAGCTTACACCCACTCGACCAATCAGCTGCATTCCATTCTTCTTGGAGTGTCGGCTCAAACCCATCCATACACCTACAAGGTGGATATTTATTGATGATACAACTTCCATAAGGCCCACAAAGCCCATAAACACCACAGTTATCTATTTTGGCATTTCCATATTGAATCCAGTCGTGCATTCGGTCAATCCAGTGCAACTGCACTATATTTCCATCCGACATCAAAAGTATTCTCTGAGCAACTGAAGTTTTAAGTTCGTATTTATAATATATTTCTTTCTTGTTAACAACAAACTCAGCTGAGTAAAGTGGATTTGGTTCGTCCATAGGCAAACCACGGAACTTCATACCATTCCATGGTCCAATCCTGAAGTGTAATTCTGAACCTTTCCTTTCAAATATTTGCAGATACCCATTTGTGAAAACAGAGTATACATACGAACCTGGAAAAGGGTCATGGAGAGTTTTCCATGATGTCAGATACCTGTCCATTCCGGTCAGCAAGTCCTTCCCGAATTTCATCCCGGGCAGCAATGTGTCACCAGGATAATCAAAACTTTGCCAAATTATATTTCGGTTTTTATCCCAGACAACAAGGTTTCCGGTATCCAGAAGCTGTGCCACTGGATCAAGATTTGTTATAGATACGGTGTAATTGGATGACCAGATCACGGTGGTGCCGCCACTGTCAATCACCGGACCTCCGGAGCTTCTGAGTTTGAATTCGCCGGAGTCATCTGTAATTGGTGTTTCTCTGTTGGCGACCCAAACAACTGTACCAGTTGATATCTTCTTGTACCATATACCCAGGTACCGATTCTTTGAGTTTCTGGGGCTAAAAAAGCCGAGTTGGAACATCTCACCATCTGAAACGATTGTGTTGCCGTCTTTTATAGGTTGGTTTGCGTTTATTTTGTCTACTCCGAAAGATTCTGGGAGCAGAAAGAATAAGGCAAAGGCAAAAAATATAAGTATGGAATAATCCTTCATTGATGATTAATTGTTGTCTTGGTGAAAGTTGAAGACGGTAGATATTTGATCAATTCAAGTGAAAGACTTATTGGTCAACGTATTGAAAAAAGAAATATTCTAAACCATAATCTGCTAGCCAATTTTGAACTACCTCTTCAATAAACATTGCATAGATTGTTCCCATTCTTGTTCATCCATCGTGGCTCATATAAAATATAAAATTGGTTATACACTATTCGCTGTTTGAAAAAGAAAAACAAATAATTGGTTGTACAGTACAATAGTCATGCTATTGTTCTTTGGTAATCTTGATGGGTTATGGGTCACGGATGAGTTGCGGGTCAACATGTAATCCACGGGTCAATAGTCATGGAGTGGAGAATAAGGATGAAATCGTTGCATGTTTATTTTCTTTCTTTTGTTTACGGTACGTGGCATAGTAGTAGTGGTGTAGCAGCTTAATTTTTAGTCTATAAATAGTGTAGGATGTTTTCTTGTAATCCGTTTCCATTTGCAAGTATATATAAACATAGAGAAAACCAAATAACGTTGAGCAATACATGAGAATCGATAGTTGCGGGTTTGCAAGTGAGTTTAAAGGAAGGGCTGATTTCCAACAATTAGTATCATAGCACAAAGCACGGTTGAAGGGGCTGTGGGTTCATCGCAAGAAATAGCATGCAACAAGCAAGAAGGTTGTCGCATAGTCTATAGCAAGTAGCATGCAAGACAATCATAGCAAGTAGAAAGTTTTGGGTTTGTAGCAAGTAGCAAACAAGAAACAAAATGCAAGAAGCAAGAACGAGATAGCAAAAAAGAAGGTAGCAAGACGGAAGAAGATCGAAAGATGTTAGGGGAATATTAGGGTGATGGTGGAAAACCAGATTTTTATTGTATCGTGTAAGTTCACTTTCCGAACTGATATTTCCACATTATGTCTGGGTCATAGGAAATCCAATCTAGTATAATTCAAAATGACACTTGTGTATTTAGGCACAGAAACACAAGCCAAATCACTGAGTATTCACTTTAGAAGAAGAAGAGTTGAGAAGCGTTCTATACGGCTTAAAAGAGTAGCCGTATATATACATGACATATTAGGATTTTTTATTTTTTAAATTAGTTAGGAGAATCTCGAATTTAATGACTTAATTAATGATTTCCAAAACTAACGAGATTAGTCAATCTTACCATAATCATCCACTAGAACTCAGTTTTTCCATAACGAGACTAATTCAAATTTTCGAATACCTTTTGGGGCGTTGCCCCAAACCCCCCGGGAGGTGCTAACCCTCGAGCCCGCGTGTAACAACCCAAAAACAGAGGTAAATTTTTTTATTTTTAAGACCAATAGTTTCGTTCACCACATATCTCCAAATCAATCACCAAAAACAGAAGTAAAGACAATTCTGAAGTCAAAGATCAATCCGAGATGCATCTTAGTGTTAAAGTGTTTTTGAGTCTGTAATATGCATTTAGTGTTACAAATACTATTTTGTTCTGTTCGTATTGTCTTATAGTATAGTACATGAGACAAGATCAACAGCAGCAACTATGTCAACATGTTGATCTTCAGAAGTCTAGTAGTCCAAGCTTACTTTATCTTATTTGTCTTGTAGTTACTCCTTGACTATTTAAGGAGTAGTCACCTTTAGTAAAATATGTGGAACATGCACCTTTTTCACATCTATCAAGAATTATTCAGTCAATCGTTCTCTCTTACATTCTTCTTGTTCTTGAATCACTTTACATTGTTCATACTTATTAATCATTTATACTTTTAAGCAATTTATTGATTATCTCAATTCCGAGACAAGAATAGTTCACTAGATTTGACTGTATTTGTATTATTAGCAGACATTGATCTTAAGTTAATTTAAGATTTGAGTTTTCAAACCTTGTCCGTGCACCTCCTTTGCATTCATAATTGGTATCTGAACCTAAGTGGTTGTCTTTTGAATCCATAAGAACATATTATAGTTGGTTACAGATCACTCTGGTATCTCAATCGTTTCCGTGTTCAGGATAAAAGTTCTTCTATATACCACTTCAGCTCTAATATCTTAACCTCAATGGCTACTTCTAATTAATATCAACAAATTATTTAATGCAAATAAAAAATAGCATGGGTTGCCCAATGCATGACCCATTGCTAGTTGTTAAAGAGTATGATCACCAGAAAGTTAGAATGGAGAGATATTTACTTGGTAAAGAAAAAGGTGAAGAAATATGGAGGCCAGTAAAAGAAAGTCCTCATGTTCCAGTAAGACATGTGGTTAGAGATACTGTTTCAACTCTCATGGGTCAAGAAGATACACGAGCAACACCACTGACTGCAAATGACATTGAGAAGTGTAACATCCCAAAAATACAACCCAAAAGTTTCGTTTTAAATCATTATCAAAAACCATAAATCATCCATCATCATAGAGAAAATCAAGAACCATGTATCTCAAAAACATCATGTCAAATACTATATCGAAATCATATGAGAAAATATCAGAGTCTAAAACAATCCCAGGCTGAAACTGTGGTGTGTGCTATGAGATCATCCCAAGCCCTTCCCCTTTGCTAGTGGAAGTACCTGAAACCAAAACTGAAAACCGTAAGCACGAAGCTTAGTAAGTCTCCCCAAACTACCACATACCATACACATAACATATAACGTATCTTTGGCCCCGCCCCTGCTACATCGAGTCTAGCTCGCCATCGGCTTTCCCAGCATTGGGCCCCACCCGGCATCGAGCAGAACTCGACATACATAATAACATATCAACTAACATATAACATAGCACATATACTAACAAGAAAGCCTTCCTCGGGTCCCACCCAACATCGGACCGAGATCCAGAAACATACTAACCTTCCTCGGGAACCCCCCGACATCGGACCGGAGTCCGAAAACATACTATCATGCATACTAACTAGGCATTCCTCAGGCTTGCCCCATCATCAGACCGAAATCTGGAACTCCTAACACATAACAAACACATGCAAGAATCATAAAGACATCAAGCATACAGGCATACAAGCATTCCTCGGGACCGCCCTGACATCGGATCGAGATCCGGAAAACATATAACTCTACATCGGGCCCCGTCCGACATTGGACCGTAATCCGGAACTACTACTAACTAAACGGGCCGGCCTTGGTGCCATAGACCCGTTCCTACAGGAGAAAACTCACCTCGCAAAGATGTCTGCAAAAACCCGCGGTGAGGAATATTTGATAGCTGCTCCAACGACTCCCCGACTGTCAATATCACAACAATACTTAGTCAAAACCAAATAATACTTCGCAGGGTAAAATGACCATTTTACCCCTGGTCAAAGTCAACATCCTAGTCAAAGTCAAAGTCAAGGTTAATTCCCAGTCAACCCCAACTCGTCGAGTTATCTCCCAACTCGGCGAGTTCATGAACAACTCAGACACATGGTCAACAAAGTCAACTCATCGAGTCCCTTAACAGACTCGTCGAGTGCTTCCTGTCATAATGATCGGGACTGCCCGCTTCAACTCGTCGATTCCTTTCCTGGACTCGCCGAGTTTCCTTGTCTGATTGAGCCATCCCAAAGGATTAAGCTCCTACCTTTCAGATCTATGCTCCAAACTTCATCTATATACTGGAAATACACTCTTAAGGGTAAAGTTTCCAACTTTACCAGTCCTTAGTCCTTCTTAACGGGTTTAGCCAGAAACCTAACTTCTCTAAAGCATGCATCTTGTTCCAAAAGCCATAACACCCTAAACCAAGGCACAATATACTAGATCTAGGCTTTTATCATCTGTTGGACACGTAAAGTCCCGAGCTTTCCTTCCATGCTTGGTCTTTTAGGGTTAAAAAGGCCATGTTCTTGCATACAAGATTGCATGGGGCTTCCATGGTCATAAGGTTTGCACCTTTATGCCATGGAACCCTTACGAGACCCCATATCTGAGATATAAGTCACTTGGGACGTCCCAATCCCAAGGACCAAGTTTCTTGAACCAAAATCTTCAAAAAATGGAAACCAATAGATCTAAGAGAAGAATGATCAAGTTAGAGACTTGATTACCAGAAAATATAGCAAATGGAGTAATGTTCCTAGATCTACTTCTTCCCTCTTGAGCCTTCTATCTTCTTCTTCTTCTTTTTCCACAAGCTTCAAAAGACACAAATAACACTCAAAATGGAAAGAAATAGCTCAAGATCACTCAAGGTTGATTAGGGTTTGGAAGTGATGGAGGCTGGGATGGAGGCTAGATATGATGCTTAAATAGGGTGCAAACCCTAAAGATTAGGGTTTCATCCAGCCTGTCCCTCCTGTCGAGTCAGGGCTATGACTCGTCGAGTAGCTCATTTAAAACCCGCGCATATATTGCCTTCTACTCGACGAGTTAGGGCCACCAACTCGTCGAGTAGCCTTTCCAAAATGAATAAATAAATAACTAAAGTGCATACCAGGAACCAGGCGTTACAATTATCCCCCACTTGTCTTAGACTTGGTCCTCAAAGACTGTTGCATCTTAAAACAACTCTGGGTAATGCTCCATCATCTCTTCCTCGGGCTCCCAAGTCCACTCCGAACCCTTGCGGTGCTGCCATTGCATCTTTACCAACTCCACTCTCTTATTCCTCAAATCGTTCGACTTCCTGTCAAGGATAGCTATAGGTCGCCCGATGTAGTTCAGGCTGTCATCAACCCGAATATCCTCAAAGGGTACCACTACTGAATCGTCCACTAAACACTTCCGCAACTGCAAAACGTGGAAAGTGTTGTGGATCTGGCTGAGCTCTGCTAGAAGGTCTAACTGGTAAGCAACCTGACCCACCCGGGCCAATACCCTAAACGAACTGATGTACCTGGGGCCCAACTTGCCCCGTTTCTGGAATCGAATGACACCTTTTCAGGGTGACACCTTCAGGAGGACCATGTCGCCCACCTAGAACTCTAAGTCCGAACGCTTCTTGTCGGCGTAGCTCTTCTGCCGTCTCTAAGCAGTCTGGAGCCTGATCCGGACCTTCTGGATCCTCTCAGTAGTCTTGAGTGCTACTTCAGTACTCCCCATAACTCTTTGACCGACCTCAACCCAACAGATTGGGGTCCTACACTTCCTCCCGTAGAGCATCTCAAAGGGAGGTCGGTCTATGCTGGCAGGATAACTGTTGTTATACGAAAATTCCGCTAACGGAAGATACGTATCCCAATTGCCATTG